GATCCGATGGCAGGAGCCAGATGCTTCTCCTGGTCTCCCATGGGGTGCAGGGCCCAAGCACTTGGGCCATCCTCCACTGCACTCCCTGGCCACAGCAGAGAGCTGGCCTGGAAGAGGGGCAACCGGGACAGAATCCGGCGCCCCGACCGGGACTAGAACCCGGTGTGCCGGCGCCGCAAGGTAGAGGATTAGCCTAGTGAGCTGTGGCGTCGACCACTATATTATTTTTAAGATGAGTTTGCCAGTGGAAAAGGTGATTAGCAAGGAATTTGGAGACGAAGTGGACTTGAATCCCATGGTCAAATTATACAGTCTCATAGCATAATGTTGTCTTCCTTCCTAACTTTGGAAACTGATCATCTTTTATTTCTTTGCTCTATCTCCCCTACCTACTTCAAGACATCTGAGTTTTGCTAACCTGTTTGTCCTGAGAACTTACAGAGCTTGGCATGTAGTGAGTACTCAGTAACCATGTGGTAAAAGAATAGATAGATGGAAAGAGGAGGGGGAAAGGGAGGTTTCCCTGGACCGCAGCCTTGTCCGTTGATGGCCGGTAGTGTCGGCATATCCAGCACTGTCCCTGCCAGCTCACTGGATGATGTGTTTTCTCTCCTTGGCCAGACTGTAAAGCCTGGCGGGCAGGGACAGGTACTGTAGGCCATTCAAATCCCATGCTCTGCCACAGTGGTAGGCACAGGGAGACATTCACCAGATAGCTATTACATCAGAGCAAGTAAATTCCTGGGGGAGTGGGCCGGAAGTTGGGCGCCTCTCATAGGCAAAGGGTGACAGAATGAGAATTATTTTCCTGTCAGTGTTTTAACAGCCAAACCACCCTCCACAAAGCTGTTCTGGTTTCGCCAGTGTGTAATGCATCGGCAGTATCTGAGAGTTTCCATTTCGGTGCACCCTGGAGCTGACCCAGTTACTGATGGTTCTGGGAGCACTGTAGGAGGATTAGAGCTGTCAGCAGTCTTAGGAAAGGGCCATTCTTATTTTCCCGGGTCCACAATCCTGGGGTTCAAACTGGGCCAGAAGTCAATCAGGAAACAGGACGGCTCTGGCTGTCCCACCATGTGCAGCCGCCGGGTATTCACACCCCTCGAAGCTGCTGCTAGTGAGTTCTGGGGGTCTCGCCTGCATTGCTGGCAGCTGCCCCTCCGTTACCTGTGGTACCCCCATTGTCTTCTCTTGCTCTGTCTCTGCTTGTGTCTTCACTATCAGTGCAGATTCTGTCATCTCTGTCCATCCGGTCTTGCCCTTCAGGTTTTAATCAGCACAGACTTACCACTGACGTTTCCAACAGGGGAGGACAGAGAATAGAAAGAAGTCCTCCAGGGTTTCCTTCCCAGGTATCCACCTAGCAGTGTTCACCTATATACATTATACCTTAATAATTCAATATTCACATAATGTAGTCTCCGGAAAAAAAAAGTTTTATTCAAAGAAACACAGCCCATCCACAAATATGCATTTAAAAGCATGTCTGATCCTGTTACCCATCTCTTGAGAACCCTTAAGGAAGCCCCAGTTCAGCCCACACACTGCACGTTCAGCTGCTCTGATGGGCTCAGGTGCAGAATCACAGACCCCGTCACAAGCCCCTGTTTCTGCCTGTTTTGCTCCCGTTGCTCCTGAATCTGCAGCTCACTGCTGTGTACACCAGCCTGGGCCTCACTACATCCCCCTGACTTTCAAGCACGTTTCAACTATTTATTTGTTTTTTTGGACAAAGAGAGCTCCCATCTGCTGTTTCCTTTTTTAAATGTCCACAATGGCCAGGGCTGAAGCTGGGAGTGGTGAATTCAAGTCTGTAGAGGGAACCCAATTACTGGAGCCGTCACCACTGCCTCTCAGGGCCTGCAGGAGCAGGAAGTTAGAATCAGGAGCCAGAAGAAGGACTCAGACCTTGGTACTCCAATATGGCATGGGTGCATGCGGGGATGCTATTGTTATTTTAAAGATTTATTTATTTATTTGAAAGGCAGAGTGATGTGAAAGAGACAGAGATATCCTCCACTCACTGGTTCACTCCCCAAATGAGTGCAGCAGCTGGTGCTGGGCCAGGCCAAAGTCAGGAGTTTGAAACTCCATCTTGTTCTGCCATGTGGGTGCAGAGGCCCAAGCACTTGGGTCATCTTCCACTGTTTTCCCAGGCCACAGCAGAGAGCTGGATGGGAAGAGGAGCAGCCAAGACTAGAACCAGCACCCATATGGGATGCCAGTGCTACAGGTGGAGGGTTAACCTACTACGCCACAGCGCCAGCCCCCGTCAAATAGTATTTTTAATTATTTCTTTCATTATTTCTATTGGACACTGCTGTAGTGGGTTACCGTAATAGGTTTTTTTTTTTTTTTAAGATATATTTATTTTGAAAGTCAGAGCTACACAGACAAGGAGAGGTCTTCTATCCGCTGGTTCACTCCCCATATGGCTGCAATGGCTGGAGCTGTGCCGATCTGAAGCCAGGAACCAGGGAGCTTCTTCTGGGTCTCCTATGCAGGTGCAGGGACCCAAGGACTTGGGCCATCTTATACTGCTTTCCCAGGCCATAGCAGAGAGCTGGATTGGAAGTGGAGCAGCTGGGACACGAACCAGCACCCATATGGGATGCCAGCACTGCAGGCGGTGGCTTTACCTGCTATGCTGCAGTGCTAGCCCACTGTAATAGTTTCTATTTTTAACATAATCCTTTTATTTCTTAAGAATAGCTTATTAACAATTGTCTTAAGATTTTCATCTACATTATCAAAAATTATTTGGACTTAGAAGTTTTACTATTGTCACTATTCACTTTTCTCATGTCCTAAGACTTTCTTTCTTGAATTTATTTTTGTTTTGGTAACTTGAACCTTGAGTAATTATTCATATAAAGCTTTCCAAGTTCTTGCATATCTGAAAATATCTATTTTTTCTCATCTTGATTTATAGTTTGACTAATAGAGAATAGTTCTATTTTCTTTTACAATCTATTGTCAGTCTAGGAAATCTTTCCCCCACTATGAGCACCTGGGAAATTTTTTTTTTTTTTTTTTTTGACAGGCAGAGTGGACAGTGAGAGAGAGAGACAGAGAGAAAGGTCTTCCTTTGCCGTTGGTTCACCCTCCAATGGCCGCCGCGGCCGGAACGTTGCAGCCAGCGCACCGTGCTTATCCGACTAGAACCCCGTGTGCCGGCGCCGCAAGGTGGAGGATTAGCCTAGTGAGCCGTGGCGCTGGCTTTTTTTTTTTTTTTTTTTTTTTTTTGACAGACAGAGTTAGACAGTGAGAGAGAGAGACAGAGAGAAAGGTCTTCCTCACCTTGGTTCACCCCCCCAGGTGGCCACTATGGCTGGCGTGCTGCACCGATCTGAAGCCGGAAGCCAGGTGCTTCTCCTGGTCTCCCATGTGGGTGCAGGGCCCAAGGACTTGGGCCATCCTCCACTGCCTTCCCGGGCCGCAGCAGAGAGCTGGACTGGAAGAGGAGCAACCGGGGACAGAATCCGGCGCCCTAACCAGGACTAGAACCCGGGGTACCGGCGCTGTGGGTGGAGGATTAGCCTATTGAGCCGTGGCGCCGACCAAAATTTATTCTTGCAGTTCTGAATTTTCAATAGGCTTAATTTTTTTTCTTTTTTTTTTTTTTTTACTAATTCTACTTGGTGTTCAATGGGCCCTACTGAAACTGAAGACCAATGTTCTCAGCTATTAGATTTTCAACTTTTGATGGGCTGTTTTTACCTTTTCCCTATCCAGATGGTGCATAATAAGCTTTAGGTCCAGCCTCTGTGACTCTTCTCTCTCTGGCTTCTGGTTACCTGGGAGAACACTGGGCTCGCTCCCCCTCCGACTTGACCTCTAGCTGAGCCCATTCGGCCCTCCTGCAGCTGACTGGCTTTTGTTGGTGGGTTTGGTCTCTGGCTGTCACCTCACAGGGGAGAGAAAGGTCATTCCCTGCCCGCTCAGGCTTCTGCTTGAATTGCACCCTCCGTTTATGCTTGCTCTTTATTTGAAGGCCCCTTTCTTCAGGATTCGTACCCACAGGGCTTGGTAGAGAATGGTCTGGAGGCAGAAAGCATGGTGTGCCTGTAGCTTACCCTCCTCTCTGAACTGGAGGATTGTTCTTGCCTAAGGCTTGTGTACCTCTCATCTCTTCTCTTAGGAGTGCAGTCGGCCCTCTGCATCTATGGTAGAAAATCATTTAAAAAAATAAAATTCCCTTTTGTTTGAACATGAATTTTTCTTGTTATTATTCCCTACACAACTACTTGAATAGCATTGGCGTTATACTGGGTATTATAAGTAATCTAGAGATGAAATTTAAAGTATAAGGGAGGAGGGCGGGCATCATGGCGCAGTGGGGAAGGCCATGGCTGAGGGCGCCCACAGCCCACATCAGTATGTGGGTCCCTACCACGCTCATGGGAGACTCAGAGTTCAAGGCTCCTGGCTTTGACCTGTTCTAGCCCTGGCTGTTGCTAGCATTTGGAAATTGAACCAGTAGATAGAAGATCTCTCTCTCTCTATCTGCCTTTCAAGGGAGTAATAATAATAATAATAATAAGCTTTCAAAAATAAATTTAAGGGGCTGGCACTGTGACAAAGTAGGTTAATCCTCCGCCTGCGGTGCCAGCATCCCATATGAGTGCAGGTTCGAGTCCTAGCTGCTCCTCTTCTGATCCAGCTCTCTGCTATGGCCTGGGAAAGCAGAAGATGGCCCAAGCACCTGAACCCCTGTACACATGTGGGAGACCCAAAAGAAGCTCCTGTCTCCTGGCTTTGGATCGGCTCAGCTCCTGCCGTTCCAGCCATTTGGGGAGTGAACCAGCAGATAGAAGACCTTTCTCTCTGTCTCTCCCTCTCACTGTCTATAAACTCTACCTCTCAAATAAATAAATAAATAAATAATCTTAAAAAAAATAAATTTAGGGGCCGGCGCTGTGGTGCAGTGGGTTAATGCCCTGGCCTGAAGCACAAACATCCCATATGGACGCCAGTTTGAGACCCGGCTGCTCCACTTCCAATCCAGCTCTCTGCTATGGCCTGGGAAAGCAGTGGGAGATGGCCAGGTCCTTGGGCCCCTGTACCCACATGGGAGACCTGGAGGAAGCTCCTGGATCCTGGCTTTGGATCAGTGCAGCTCTGGCCCTTGTGACCACCTGGGGAGTGAACCAACGGATAGAAGACCTCTCTCTCTCTGCCTCAGCCTCTCTGTAACTCTGCCTTTCACATAAATAAATAAATACATCTTTTTTTTTTAGTTGTAATTATAACAACTTTAAATTTACAATTCTGTGATATTTAATATGCTCACAATTTTCTCTAATCATTACAACTATGTAATTCCAGAATTATTCTTATTACCCTAAAAGGAAACCCAATTTTCAGAACATGCTTAACAAACAGAAGTTTAGACTCTCATTTCCAAATGCCTGCATTTGGGAGGGAGACCTCGGAGAGGGGTTCCATTGTAACTGTGATCTCCAAAGGGGGTTTAATGACTGGTCTATTGTATATTACAAAGAGCTTGCGCAAAGTGTAGCTAAGAGGCATTCCATAGAGAGGCTAGGCAGGTCCTAGATATTTTGCTAGAAACCAGCACTCAGTTCCACACTTTGAGCTCCTGCAGCAGAGACAATCGGACACGAGGACCTGCTGGTGATGAAACGCAACAGTAAATAAACCTTGTCATATTGGTCACTGTGTCCTTAGCATCCCACCACTCCAGGCCATCCTACTCAACCATTTTTTTCTAACAGCCACTTTCAAGTTAAAGGCAGACATGTGAGGAAGACCTGATTTTGTAGGTTAGTATCAAAACCAACACCTGCAGCTATGCTAAATCTAGCGTGCGAGTACATGAACTAATGTCTGACTTTTGCACTCAGGTGGATATGAAGCATCCCACCCGCTAAGGGCCCTTGTGTCACACCTCCAGCTACTGTATGTGTGGTTCAGAATAGGTTTCTTGCAACACTTGTCATCCAACAGCCCTGCGGGGTAGGCAGGACAAGATTACTGATCTGATTCACAGGGTGTAGGGCATTGAGGAAGCTTTGGGCTGAGAGTAGCAGAACTTTAAATTATGAGAATGACTACAAATAAAGACAAAACTGGGTTTCCCACAAGTGGAGGAAGCTAATTAAAATTACCCCTTTACAAGACAGAATTTATGTATCTGTCAGTTACCTATGAACCAGTGAACAGGGCTCAAAGATGATGTAACAGAGCTGGGGTCTGGTCACATGTAAGGATATGACACTGATGTGCATGATTTCCATTAAAACACAAGACACTGGGGCCAGCACTGTGGCATAGCAGGTAAAGCCACCACCTGCAGTGCCAGAATCTCACATGGGCGCCAGTTTGAGTCCCCACTGCTCCTGGTTTCAGATCGGCCTAGCTCCAGCCATTGTGGCCAATTGGGGAGTGAAGCAGCAGATAAAAGACTCTCTCTCTTTCTCTCTCTCTCTCTCTCTCTCTCTCTGCCTCTCCTTCTCTTACTGTGTAACTCTGACTTTCAAATAAATAAATAAATCTTTTAAAAAAATAATATGACTTCAAATTACTGAGTCATAAATTCTGTAAGAAAAAAAATTCTAGACCCAAACATAGTGTGTCACAAGGAAGGCATTTTGAGGGTTAGAAGCTGGGCAAGCCTGAGACCAGCACATTAGAACTCTGAGCTTAGAACCCCATACCCAGACAATGAGGCCAAGTTCAAAGACAGACTCCCGGTAAACACGTCTTGGAATCTAAGCAAAGCAGCTGGTGGAACCCAAAAGGTCAAGAGAGGAGTCAAAGAGTCCTCTGGGGCCAAAGTCAAGGAGAGGAGACACTGACTGAGACTGATCACCTGCAGCAGGACAGCCTCGTGCGCACCCATCCTATTGATCCTCCAGCTCTGGGACCTCTACCCACGGTGTGCTGGAGCCATGCACGCCCTTGCCTCCTCAGAGCTGCTCCCCGCAGTTTTGCATCCTGCTTTGGGCCAGGACACATCACTGGTTGTCCAAGCATAGTCTCCTGACTACAGACAGGTGAGTTGTGGGCTCAGTATCCTCTTGTTCTGTGGCACATTATTTTTACTTAAAAGCACGACTGGCAGATGGACAATGGTTGCTTGGCAGCACATACTATATACTCAAGGATATCCAATTATCAAAAACAGCTAACAAAACACTTCTCTCCCAGCTATGTATCTGTTCAAGACCAGATTGTTTTCATAAATTTCAAACAAAGCAACAGATAGTAAATTGAATGTAGAAACAGATTGGAGAATCCAGTTGCCTTTTGTAAAATCAAATCTCCAAAAATGCAAAACAATGCTCCTCTGCTTGGTGTGCTTGTCTGTGTGTGTTAGAAAATACAATTGTTTAACATTAAATGCTTATGTTAGTGTTTATTGAATGTGTTGTCATTTTTACATGAATTGGTAAGTATTTAAAAATGTATCATGGGTGAGCATTTGCCACAGCAGTTAAGACACCCACATGCCATACCTGAGTGCCTCAGTGGGAGATCAGGCTCCAATTTTGATTCTAGCTTCCTGCTAATGTGCACCCTGGAAGGCACCATGTGATGGCTCATATTCTCTGCTACCCACGTGGGAAACCAGGCTTGAGTTCCTGGCACCCGGCTTCAGCCTGACCCAGCCTCAGCTATTGCAGCCATTTGTGGAGTCAATCAATGGATGGAAGATTTCTCTCTTTGTCTCTCTGCCTCCCAGATAAATTAAATAAAGACAAAAAATATATAAATCTATCAATTTTATTGTCCAATGTGATAAAGGTCATATTCAATTTAACCCACATAAACAAAAGCTTTTGGGGTTCTCAATCATTTTTAGACTGCAAAGAGGCCCTGGGATTAAAAACTTTGCAAACTGTTAGTCTAATATTAAAGACACAAGTGATTCTGAACTTAAACAGTTCATTTTAGTTAGTGAATGAGCCTGGCCCTTACCAGCAACCCTCACTGGGGAAAGTTTTGGACATTTTATTGAATTATGTTTGCATTATATCAAATGTGAGTATATGGGAAGGAAATTTGAGTATATGGGAAATTCACCAAGATGGTTCATTTCTGTGCATCAATTTGGCTGGGCCAACGTGCCCAGATATTTGGTCAATTGTTATTCTGGATATTTCTGTAAGAGTGTTTAATGTGGATGAGATTAACAAGTTAGTGGGCCTTGAACAATGCCTATTATCTTCCATAGTGTCCAATTCATTGGAAGTCCTAATAGAACAAAGACTGACCCCAACGTGGAGAAGTTCTGCCTGCAGGTGGTCTTCAGACAGGATCTGAATCATCAGCATTTCCTGTGTCTCCAGGCTGCCCACCCACTCTACAGATTCTGGATTTGTCAGCCTCCACAATCATGTGAGTCTTAAAATAAATCTCTTTCTCCAAATACATACACATCCCCAGAAGGTTCTGTGTCTCGGGAAAACCCTCACTGACACATTAATCTTCTCAAGCTTACAGGATTTACAATAACAGCCAATGGATCCTTGCAGTAGGAGGGATTTAAAACAAGGGGAGAAGAAGTATTTTAAGGGTTCTATTCATAATCTGGACTACAAGTTTAAAGCACCTTGAAATAACACCGCGAAACATCTCTCTGGTTTCTATGAAGTCAGGGTTCCACAGCTCAGGCCTGTGCCCGGCAAAGGCACAAAGCTGTCCGTCTGTCTGCTCTGTGTCTCTCCCTGCTCCTCCACACCCCCCACCCCCGCCACACTTTTCAGAGGACCTCATCCCCCAGGGCTTGAGCATTTGGATTTTCTCAGTTTCTTCAATTTTGAGAAACTATTTCCTAGCAGGGTGTTAATGACTTTACACCTCCAGAGACAATCTCCATATTAAAGAACATCTGCAGAGCAATAGTATTGCTTAGCCCAGAAGTAATTAATTTCTTGGCCAGGTGTTTGGCCTGACAGTTAAGACCCCGGTTAGGATACTTGCATCTTACATCCCAGTGTCGGGGTTGCGGTCCTAGCTCTCCTCTTGATTCCAGTTTCCTGTTCCTGTGCACCTGAAGAGGCAGCAGGTGATGGCTCAAGTACCTGGGTCCCCACCACCCATATGGGAAACCCAGATTGAGTTCCAGGGTCCTGGAGTTGGGCTGGTGCAACTGCAACCATTGTAGATATTTGAGGAGGGAGCCGGTGGATGGGAGCACTCTCTCTAAATAAATAAATAAATAAATATTTTAAACATATAATCAATTTCTAACAGTGAATGTTTAGAACTAGAGCCCTGAATAGAAGGAATTATCTGGAGAAAGGGTCTTTCTGAGACCTGTGAAACTGGGCACAGGAGTTGACTACTTGCCTCTTCTGTCCTTGCCGCCTCCTTACAGAGCAGTCACTGACACTGCATAGCTGTGGGGATCCCAGCTGTGTATCTGGAACGTTCGAGTGGATAACGTGCACGCACATGGCTGCGTGAGGCGTACAGCAGAGCTGGGCTGGGCCCTGTGTGCAGCTGAAAGGCCAGAGGCTGCTCCTCCATCAGCTCAAGGGACTGGTGCCATGCTAGTACTCTCATGGGCCACACAAGTCTCCAAGTAATTTCTGCAGAGCAAGGAATCAGCCAAGGTGAGAACAATCAGGCGTGAATGCTTGTGTCTCTCTCACCCCATGTCTCTGTGTCTGGGTTTCTGCTCTAAATTGTCAGTGCTGGGAAGGGTGCAGGATAGCAAGTCCTTCTACCCAGCATTGGCAGAACTCTTTTGGATTCAGCCTTCCTGGAAAGCTAATTAGCAATGTACACAAAAAATATTTCAAAGTCTGTGCTGTCTAATTCTGCCTACATGAATCTATCTTAAGGTAATAATCCACTCAATGAAATGACAAAAGGAAAAAATATGGCAGGATAAAAACTATGGATAAAGCCATGCACATATGTAGTATAAGGCAAGCTATTTTAAGTACATTTAGGAAAAAAAAAAAAGGCTTGAACAAAATATACCAAAAAGGATTGGCAAGGGTCCCCCCCTCCTTGGCCCAAATTCATTAGTTGGAGCCCTACCCCCTGGTGTGTTGATATCAGGGAGTGGGGGCTTTAGGTTTCACTGAGGTCATGAGGGACACTAATCCCCTTACGATGGGATTAGTGTCCATTAGACATTAGAGCCCTCTCCACTCTGTGGGGCTGCAGGAAGAAGGAGGCCCTGTAGAAGCCCAGGAGGGACCCTCACCAGAACTAGAACCAGACCAATGCTGGCTCCCTGATCTGCCTCCCGGATTCCAGAGCTGTGGGAAATCAATGCTTGTTGCGGTATTTTGCTATAATGCGTCTGTGGTATTTTGCTACAGCAGTTCAAGCAGACGGTGACAATGAACAGTAGTCACATCTGAGTTTGTGAGGTTATGGGCAACTTTTATTTGTTCTGTTCATAATTTTCCACCATTTCTCACAAACTTTGTGATTTTCACTTTAATTTTTATAAGACCTAATTACTTATTACTATGTAACTACCTTCCCATTGTAAAAACAAAACAGAAATATAGAATAGAACATAAAAATTCTCTTTTAACATATTCTCCTGACAGTTCTTCTCAGTGGGTTTGGTTTCTCAAAGATAAGCGCCAATAACTGTTACACATACACACATATATTTTTCCAGGTTTCCTACTTTGTCTACACAAACATGCAAATCTATGGAAGGAAACAGGCATAGTTAGAGTATGACTTTTTAAAAAATTATTTCTGGATGGGGGCCAGCACTGTGGGGTAGTGGGTAAAGCCGCCGCCTGCAGTACCAGCATCCCATATGGGCGCCTGTTTGAGGCCCAGATGCTCAACTTCCGATCCAGCTCTCTGCTATGACATGAGAAAGCAGTAGAAGATGGCCCAAGTCCTTGAACCCCTGCACCCGCATGGGAGAACTAGAAGAAGCTCCTGGCTTCTGGCTTCAGATTGGAGCAGCTCCACCGTTGTGGCCAATTGGGGAGTGAACCAGCGGATGGAAGACCTCTCTCTCTCTCTCTCTCTCTCTCTCTGCCTCTCCTCTCTCTGTGTAACTCTGACTTTCAAATAAATAAATAAGTCTTTAAAAAAATTATTGCTGGAGCAGGTATTCAGCCCAGCAGTTTAGATGCCTACATCCCACATTTTCCACACCTGCTTCTGACTCCTGATTCCAGCATCCCGGTGATGTAGACCCTGGGAGGCAGTAGTGAAGGCTCAAGCAGCTGAGTTCCTGCCACTCATGTGGGAGACCAGGACTGACTTTCCAGCACACGGCTTCATAGGACAGCTTGTAGGCATTTGGGGAGTGAACAGGAAATGGGCATTTTCTCTCTCTGTCTCTGATTCTCAAGTAAATAAATTTTTAAAAGAAATTTTAAGAATACTTCTCTAAATAAAAAAATTAAAAAGCATTGTTTACAAAAAACAAAACAAAACAAACAAACAAAAAACACGGGGAAGCTGGCTACTCCCTGTTTAGAGTTTTGTTTGACCGACACGTTGATTTGAAAGGCTGCATAGCTACACGAGCAGTAATTTCCTACCACATAATCAGCTTAGCATCTAAGGTCATATTCCTGCCTTGCACATTTTCAATACCTTCTTAGACCCCATGCTTTCATTTTTTCAGTCTGTGTCTCTTTAACATATTGTAAAATGCTAAATACACACAACACACACATACACGGCAAATAATAGATATATTTCCGTGTCAGTACATCTAGACTTCTTTCTTCTCTACATGGTATTTGATAGTACACATGACTTTTATAATCAGAATTTTTGAAAAGCAAATATTATTTCATTTTAAAGGCATTTAGATTCACGTTTTTCAGTTGGATCCGTCTCCTGAATGTGTTCCTATCTGCTCATTAGCTATGAAGCAGGAAGTCTTTCAGCCTCTGTTTAATTTTTCATCAAAGATGGCTTGTGAAAGGACGCATTGGTGATCTGGAAGGCATTCTTATACTGGAGCCTACATCAACAAAGACTCCTGTTTGCAGAGTGGAAAAGAAAAATGATTATCTAGAGACTCCCCTGAGGAAGCTTGCTTTTCACATAGAATGGATGATTTGTCCAAATGTCAAAGGAATCTCCATAATTTTTGTAGATATCCTTCATGCCCAGAAAACAGTGGTTTGGGGAAGATTTTTGTAAATCCCATTTGCCTCTCTTATCTTAGCTATAGCTCGAATCCTTGATGATACTCATTTCTGTACATTCCTAAATATGTTTTATCTTCTGTTCCGATCATTTCATGCCTCATTAGTTTAAGTATTTAAAACTTGCATCTCCCAGATTTCCAGGCACCCACCTGCTCCCTCAGCAGGGTGCTGCACACTGACTCTAGCAGTCAAGGGTAATTAGCAGGACTCCAATCATTCCGGCAGCTCTCAGATACAGTTAAAGAGGATCCGATGCAAAGCCCGCAGCAAGTTCTCCAAACACACTTGCCTCCTTCCTCTTGGCTCCTTCCCTCAAACCTCTCTCCCTGTTCCTTGCTCTCCTCTCTCCCCTTTTCTTCCCCCTAAGATTTATTTATTTGAAAGGCAGATATACAGAGAGAGAAAGAGAGAGAGAGAGAGAGATCTTCCATCTGCTGTTCACTGCCCAGATGGCTGTAATGGCCAGGGCTGGGCCAAGCTGAAGCCAGCAGTCAGGAGCTTCATCAAGGTCTCCCACGTGGGTGCAGGGACCATTTTCCACTGCTTTCCAGGAGTGTTAGCAGGGAGCTGGATCGGAAGTGGAACAGCTGGGACTTGAGCTGGCGCCCATATGGGGCCAGTTCCCTGTGGATACCAAGGGACGACTGTCATGACAAGGAACGGGAAGCTCCTGCAGGTTAAATACGTTGAGTAAAGGCCTGCGAGTACTGAGTGGTGGGAGCTGGAGTCCAAACCCAACTCCTCAGGCTCCCTCGCCCTACTCTACTCAGACACACCCAGCTCATGCCCATCCTATTGGCGCCTGTCTCCCCTGCAGCAACAGCCTTTAAGATCCCTCCCACACCTCGTCAGGCCTCAATGCAAATGGCATTCAGAGATACCAACCCTGAAGACCTCAACTAAAATGGTCACGAACTCTTTTCTAGGCTTTGTTTATTTATTTTAACACTTATCCCTACCTGAATTTATACTACACGTTTATTTGTATGTTTATCTATCTCCCTCCACCAGGACATGAACTCCTAGAGGGCTGAGATCACTTCTCTTATTTGTTGTTGTATTTTCAGGGCACTGACTGTAGAGCTGTCCTTGGCACATGGAAAGCGCCCTGTAGAGCCAGGCTTCGCAGCAGTGGTTAAGAGGCTGCTGGGGACACCCACATCCCGTACTGCAGTGCCTCAGTCTGAGCGCTGGCTCTTTTTTTTTTTTTTTTTTTTTTTTTTTTTTTTTGACAGGCAGAGTGGACAGTGAGAGAGAGAGACAGAGAGAAAGGTCTTCCTTTGCTGTTGGTTCACCCTCCAGTGGCCGCCTCGGCCGGTGCGCTGCGGCTGGCACACCGCACTGATCCAATGGCAGGAGCCAGGTACTTCTCCTGGTCTCCCATGGGGTGCAGGGCCCAAGCACTTGGGCCATCCTCCACTGCACTCCCTGGCCACAGCAGAGAGCTGGCCTGGAAGAGGGGCAACCGGAACAGAATCCAGCGCCCCAACCGGGACTAGAACCCGGTGTGCCGGCGCCACAAGGCGGAGGATTAGCCTAGTGAGCCTCGGCGCCAGCCTGGCTCTACTTCTGATTCCAGCTTCCTGCTAATGCACATTGTGGGAAGCAGCACCTGATCGCCCAAGTCCTTAGGTCTCTGCCAAGTACGCACGTAGGAGACACAGATTGAGTTCTGGCTCCTGGCTTCAGCCTGGCCCAGCCCTGGCTGTTGTGGGCATTTGGGAAGCAAACCAGCAGATGGAGGATCTCAGTCTGTCTCTTTGTCTTTCAAATAAATAAAAAAGATGTTTTGGGGGCCAGCACTGTGGCATAGGGGGTAAAGCCACCACCTGCAGTGCCAGCATCCCATATAGGTGCCGGTTCGAGTCCTGGCTGCTCCACTTCCAATCCAGCTCTCTGCGATGGCCTGGGAAAGCAGTGGAAGATGGCCCAAGTCCTTGGGCCTTTGTACCCGCATGGGAGACCTGGAAGAAGCTCCTGACTTCCGGCTTTGGACCGGTGTAGCTACGGCCATTGAGGCCAATTGGGGAGTGAACTAGTGGATGAAAGACCTCTCTCTCTCTCTTTTTCTCTCTCTCTACCACTCCTTCTTTTTCTGTGCAGCTCTGAGTTTCAAATAAATAAAATAAATCTTTCAAATAAATAAATAAGATGTTTTAAAAAGAAAGCACCCAAGAAAATGTTTGCTTTAATCAGTTCATGAAGCTCAGAACCGGTTCCAAAGTCTGTGCTCTTTCTGTGGCCCTCGTGGTACGAAAGGATCGTAGGAGCACTCAGAAAACCCTCCTGGATTAAGGAGGAAAATCTCTCGAGGACACCTGTGAAACTGGGCTCCTTACCACTCTGGGAAGACGAGTGACCACGGGATGTTCTTGGGGACTGAAGGGATGGAGGCAGTGGGAGCAGCGTGCTCTCAACCTGTGTTTATGAGAGCAGACTGGAAAACGTGTAAGTGCATTCCTAGCAATTCGCTCATTATTAGTTTTCCTAGGTTGGGGGCAATAAAGCTGCAGTGACCGTCAGAGTGCTTTTGCTCCCTCGATACCACATGCAAGATCACAAAGGACATCCGCTTTGTACCTGGCTTAATGTTGTCGCCTAGGTCTGTTGCAGAAGGTTGTTGACTTTTCTCATGCTCACTGACCTCCAGTAGCCTGAGACAAGCTCTGGCTTGCAGAGGGTACCCTGTCCCCACAATAGTCTGGTAGTGATACGGGTAAGACAAGGAGTTGGTGAGCAAAGGAGCTGAGAGACTGCCAGGAGTCTCTGCACCATGGTCCTGCCCCCTCCCTTGCCAATCCAACGTGGCTGCATGGCCACTCCCCAACTGTGCACCTGAGCCTCACTTTTCATCATGTGGAAGACACCACAATGACCAGGTGTGCGCTGCAGCTCCGCGTGGAGATACCACGATCCCTTCCTTGAATTGAAGCCCCACCCAAAGTCTGTCCTATTTGCATATTCAGTTAGGGCACTACCCCCTTTTCCCATAAAAGGAATACCTCAACTGGTAGGGGCAGAAGTAACTACTCTTTCCTAGTGGATGGAGGCTGCCTGCAGTCACATCTGAATGTGTACTCTCCCTTTAAATAAGTTCTGCTCTCCTTCTTGCACCTTATCTAGGTATCTGCTTTGAATTCTTCTCTCATGAAGAGGAAAGAATTTATAGTAAACCCAAGTAGGGACCCTGTCCGCACAACAGTAGAAAAGCTGACGGGGACCCAGAATGACCAGAGTGGCACTATGGGAGGTCAGGAAGGACAGACTGAGGGGAGAGATGGGGAAAGGCTTCCATCCAGGCCTGACTCTGTCAGTGTGTTATTTGGAAACCAGACTAGCAAACCAAGAGGCCATAGCTTTGCTGTTCTTCCATGCAGCCATGTGGACAGTAACACCTGCCCAGTTAGCCTAACATATGTGTTGTTGAACTCATTGCTCTTAACAGTAGACTAATGAAAGGATGCAAACACCTGAGATTCAGCACAAATTCACCATCAACATTGGAAAAATCCAATAATAATATTGAACTTATATGTTACTCTTTCATGTTAAATTCAGTTTCACAACGGGGCTGGCGCAGGCTTTCTCTTCTTAAAGATTTATTTATTTATTTTGAAAGGCAGAGTGAGAGAGAGAGAGAGAGAGAGAGAGAGAGAGATTGATCTTCCATCCACTGGTTCACTCCTCCAAATGACCGCAATGGCCAGGGTTGGGCCAAACTGAAGCCAAGAGCTCCAACCAGATCTCCCATGTGGGAGGCATGGCTGCTTTCCCATACACATTAGCAGGGAGCTGGATCAGAAGTGGAGAAA